CCGAGAACGAAATTACAATGCAGCCTATACACCTCAGAAAATTATTTCATATTTCTCGAGTATTATGACAATGCTTTGAACTACACGAATACAAACATCATTTCAAATAGCCTCAATTTGACTGTCGGTGACTCACGCCATAAGCTGCCAAGCACGATGAAAGTGGTTGCAAGGAAATTTTCAGATACTATAAACGCTTTTTTGTGTAAATCTCGGCATTACAATGGTTTCCTGATTGAGAATCGTTTTAGAGGTCTTATTCACAACATTATTTACCTATTTGCAAGAGTCTTGACGGAGGGTTCACCTTCAAACACTACCACGCGATCAGCAAGGTACGTAGCCATAATGAAGTCGTGCTCCACAACGAAACCAGTCTTCTTGGCGTGGAGGATGAATCTGAAGCACACAACAAAATCGAATTCTGTCAATATACAGAATGATGGTCAAAAATTAAACTCTTGAAGCGCTCACTCACCGTTTAATGACTTTGGCGGCCACAAGACGCTGTTCAGAGTCCAAGTATGCCGAAGGCTCATCAATCAAGTACACATCCGCTGGCTGAAAAACAAAACGGTAAACAAAACCGTCCAGTTGATTTTCAGACTAAGCCAAGTGTGCCATCTTTTAGTTAACAAACAAACAGAGTAAAGATATAAGGTAACTTGGTTTTATCCACTTATATAAACTGGCCACCGTAAAGAATTTCAAAGCTGACGTTTCGAGCGTTAGCCCTTTGTCAGAGCGAATGGAGTAAGGATATACCTTTCCAAGACAAATCGTTAGCGCGACACGCTGAAGTTCACCTCCAGACAAGTTTTGAACCTGAAACGGAAACAGAACACAGGTACGTTTAAACGATTATAAAACCAGAACCAAAAGGTAAAAGAGCAACGAATGATCTTAACAAGGACGAAAATCAAAAGAAGCAAAAACAGAACTCCAAGTAAGCTACCGGGGCGACCAAGAATGCAGGAAATCAAGAACAATCAAAACACACTTGATTTCAGTTTTGCGCTTGATTGGCTGTAAGACTGGCGCAGATTTCATTACAAATTTCATTACAGAGTGTAATGAAACAAAACAGATTCAATCCAGAAATTCAATTCAAAATTGCTCCAACAAACTTAACACTCTCGTTCTGGCAAAGGCATCATCGGGGGAGAAAAGAATGAATCTCGCACCACACATAGCGCACCTCCTGATCCATGATTTGCTCGATCTGTAGAGGCTTGATGACGTCCGCGATGAACTGAGGATGCACATAAGCGTCACGGATCTTCTCGTGTAAGAGCATACGTACGGTGTTCTACGGCGAGTAAATAGAAAAGGAAAAGTGACATCATCATACACACGAGGCGAAGAGCGCCAGCGCAGTCTCGTTCCCAGGGCTCCGATCTTTTCTGGAGCACTATCGATTGCAAGGCTCTGGGAACAAGATTGATGCTGGTAGGCAAAAACATCGAGTAACTCGTCTCTGCTCC